TATTCATTTCATATCCCTTCATCACATACTCGTTTTTTATTAAAATCTCAATACTAGTTTAGGCCCTACAAAAATAAACGCGACATTTTTATCGACTTTGTATGGGCAACACGTATAAAAATTGCAATTTTTAATTGCTTATATCTCAGTATTGAGATGGTCAATCTCATTCTAATTGCACAAGCGTGTCAACGACTTCTAGTACAACATATAGTTTCAATTTCAAGAAATTCTCAATATTTTGAATTTGCGAGTGTACTACCTTAAGGGTCTTATGACCCGATTTATGATGTCTCTAGGATGTCTTATAGACGTCATATTTCCTGATTTATGACGTCTTTTAGATGTCTTTTGAATATAATTGTTTTTTAATTAACGACGTCTTATTTAAGTCATATTTAAGTCATATTTTAAACGATTTTTAGACGTGCTGATATATCGTTTTGGGTGATATCTGATTAACTACATTACGATTGGACATAAGCCAATCACAGCGCTTGGAACTAGAAAGCTTCTAAACACCGGTCGCTGTTAGGATGAAGTCACATGGGATGCGGAACTGCGGAACGGATTCCTCTCAATATCGACATTCCGCATATTTCGCTCCGTAAAAGTATGTTTCGTCGGTTCCATTGAGCGGAATTTGTTTAGTGCGTAATCCACGCGAGCCAATGACAAACGTTATTCCAATAGATCTAATGAAAGCAATCTATAGGAAGGCTCTTGTGATTGGTCAGCGCTAGAGTCCTAGATTATCAGAAAAGCGCGACCGGCTTATGGCAGTATCGCAAAAGTACTAGAAAATATTAAAATGGCGTCGAATGGCCAATCATAAGTTTGATTTATTCGGCAGCCATTTATAATAGCGATAAATCAATCTTATGATTGGCCATTTGCGTGTCCAATCAGGACTCGTAACACCGGTCGCGCTTCTCTGATAATCTAGGACTCTAGCCTAAAGTAGTTGGAACGCACTCTCGATGAACTTCGGAACGCGCCGATGTCGCGACAACAACGCCATCGAGCAAAAACACGCGCAGAGCCGTTGAAATTCAAAAGGTAACGGCATGTGTGTTGTGTTCACTGTGGCATCGTTTCCTGACGAGAGTGATGCTTGTGAATTTCTTTCGTGCAATAGACACTTTGTGAGAATCGAGGTATGTATACAACGACGCACAATTTAAAGCGGCCGTATTCCTAACTTGCAATATTCTTTCTCGAAGAAAATAAAAACGGAGAGTGAGAATGTCGAAGCAACCGAAGTGGAAGCCAGTCGTATCGAAGGTGGTCGTGGAACTTGAACGGGGGTTGGAGGAGATGCAGAACACCTGGGAAGACATCGGATGCGACGATGACACGCAATTGTCATACTATGACCAGACGTACAGTCACATACATGACCTAATTAACGACATGGTGGCCGAGACGCAGTCGAAGAAGCAGCTGTTGTTAGCCAGCATACAAAATCTGTTGAAGCAAACAACGTCGTTGCGCACGGAACTACATCTGGACGTGTCGACTAAAACGTACGAGCAGATCCCCTTGTGCAAAGTTGAGCAGATGCTTCAAACAGATTTGCAAGATCTAGAGTTCAAGAAGAAGGAACGTATGGTGATCCTGAAGGAGTTGTTGACGAAGGAGCATGACATCTGCAAGAGGCTTGGCTGCAAGGCACTGCCCATCTCCGCGAGTGTTTTGCCCATGGAGCAAGATCTTGAGAGTTTTAAGCTTTATTTGCAAAAACAGGAGAGCGAGAAAGCACGCTTGGAGTCTGATTTCACAGATATACGCCGTTCCATAATCAAGATGATGAATGATTTAGACGTATCTCCATCTTCACCATTCGTAGAGTTAGTCTGTCACAATCCCGAGGAGTTTGTGCTGAGTAGCAACAATATGATGAAACTGCGAGATTTCAGGGACGAGCTGAGTATAAAAGTGGAAGAAACAAAGTGTTGTGTTGAAAAAATGAGGGAAGATTTATTGGAGTTGTGGAAATATCTTGACGAACCTGCCGACGTTTGTCAGTCGTTTCTCGAGAGGTATCCTGGTTACAGTAATAGTACCATAAATGCCCTTACCGCAGAGATAAAGCGTTGCAAAGAGAAAAGGAAAGAGAATATATGTAAGTACGTCACACAGGTCCGATATGAATTAACGCATTTGTGGGACCAATGCAAATGCTGTGAATCGGAGAGGAACGCATTCGCGCCGTTTTACTCCAACACATTCACGGAGGATCTATTGACGTTGCACGAATTAGAAGTGGAGAGGCTGCGGAAATTTTATAACGACAACAAAATGATATTTCAGCTTCTAGAGCAACGCGAAAGTCTGATAATGAAAGTAAAGGAATTGCTTCAGCGGGCGAACAATCCGGATCGTTATCACAACCGCGGAGGCCAATTATTGATGGAAGAAAAAGAACGCAAAGTGATCCAAAAGAAGCTGCCTAAAATAGAAGCGGAATTGAAGCAGTTGATCGATGAATACGAAACCAAGCACAATCAGACGTTTACCATTAATGGTACATCGTTGGAAAATGTTTTGGCGGAGACATGGGAGAGCATCACTATTGAGAAGGAATCGATAAAAAAGGCAAGGAAAGAAGCGATTTCTAAATCCATCAAGAAATCGCCGTTAAACAGCTCCAAACGTACACCGGGTATGTCCCACTTGAGCATCCACAGAGGTCCGACGCTAGGGCTGTCGAAACGCAAATTGTTCAGCCCCTCTCCCAACTCGTCGATAAAACGCAGAAACAAAAATTGCGACAAGACTAAGCCCACCGTCACCGCGTCCAAGATCAGAAGAAGCTTCGGAAAGCCTCCGAAGATCAATCAAAAATCGGGTAGATCTTCCAAAGGCGGGCAGAGGAGGAAGGAATCGATGTCACCCAGTAACAGCATCACAGACACGACATACAATCAGTTTCAGGGCCATATGACGGGCAGGGAGGAATTGCACAGCTCGATGTTGCCGGAACAGATATTAAGAAACGTCAATAAAATCAATGTTAACAAACCTCCGGTACGAACGCCCATGAAACCGTTGAGGAAACATCTCTCCGGAATAGCAATAACAACAACCCCTGCCACTCCCGGCTCCGCGCGCAAGATACCGCACAGCCCCAGAACCGTTAACACTCCGAAACTAGCGACGGCCCCGAGTAACTTACCTTTCATCTTTTAAACAAGAACGAATTATTAATACATTTTTGTTTTTATGTGAATTAACTTTCTCGCGAGAATTATCTGAATTTTAACGGTATCCTCTCTCTCTCTTTCTCTTCAATCGTGCTGAAGAATTTGTCTCGAAATTAAAATTATATTATACGTCGGAAAGAGTACAAATAGAAATCGATAATTAATTACCTTTCTGCTTGGTGAAATTGAAATGTGAAAATTTATTAGATTACTTCTGACGTAGTCGAATACACACAATTGAAATTAATTTAAGTTAATACACTTATTAGATTAAAAAAAGAAGCATATTACAATACTTTCCTTTCACCGAACAGGAATGTAATTCGAAATTAGGAATATAATTCATTTTTATAAATTAATGAATAAGCATTAAATATGACTACATGTTTTATAATTATTATTATTGTCGCACATATCTATGATTTATTATTATAAATTAGTGTACAAACATATCACTGTAAATTTTAAAATACTTCTAAGTGGAATAATATTTCTGTAAAAAAAAAAAAAGAAAAGCGAGGTCTTTACACATTTATAACATTTTAAACGCTAATGTTTCAAGATAAGTATGTTTAATTAATAAACTTAATTTTTAATATAATTATTTCGATATATATATATATATTAAGCAATTACATTTTTAAGAAAATCACCTTAAACATATATTTCGTTGAGTTGCAAAAATTTTATCCCTTGGCAAAACTTATTGCTAGGAACACTAGCATATAACCCAAGTAAAATAAAAAAAATTAAAATTAAAATTACGATATTTCCTTAAAACGATGATATAATAGATATAATAGATTTAAAAAAGAAGCACTTTTTTTTATTAAACAGGAATGTAATTCGATGCAATTTTTATTTGCAGCTATAACATTAAGTGATTATATATTTTATAAATTATAATAAATAAGCATTAAGTATGATTATCTGTTTTATAATTATTATTATGTTGCATATACCTATGATTTATTATTAAATTAGTGTAAAAACATATCACCGTAAATTTAAAAATACTAACAATAAGTGGAATAATATTTCTGTAGTGTACGAAAAAGAAAGACTTTGCAAGGTCTTTACACATTTATAACATTTTAAACGCTAATGTTTCAAGATGTATATGAAACTTAATTTAATATAATTATTTCGATATATATATTAAGCAATTACATCTTTAAGAAGATCATCTTAAACATATATTTCGTTGAGTTACAAAAATTTTATTAATCCCTTGTCAAAATTTATTGTTATAGGAACACTAGGATATAAACTAAGTAATATACAAAAAAATACAAAAAAATTAGAATTACAATATTTCCTTAAAACGATAACATAAATTAAAAAAGGAAGCACTTTTTTTCAAACAGGAATGACTACTTTTTTTCAAACAGGAATGTAATTCGATGCAATTTTTATTTGCAGCTATATTAGCTTTATGTTTTATAATTATTCTCAATTTTTATTTGATAGTATCAAATAAAGTATCTATCTTAGTAGCTCTACTAATAGTATCAACTATTCTGTATTACAATTAATATTACGAACGACGGTCTTTGAATCAAGAACTTTATCATGGTAGTAGTAACCGGATTGGCCGGTACCTTTGCTCCTTTTGCAATGTAGATCAGCTACCAGTCTATTGTGGAATGACAGAGTCCCGGCAGAGAGGATCCTTTCTGGTCCCGGGATTTGAACATTTTGAAAATTTGAACCAGAGACCTGTCGACTACAAGTCGATCGTTTTACACTTTTACGGTCAGAGCTACGCGTCATCCCACTACTGTTCTATAAGATATAAATTTTTCTGTTTTCATACAAGAATTTTGTAGAAAGCAGTAGAGTCCTAGATTATCAGAGAAGCGCGACCGGTGTTACGAGTCCTGATTGGACTCGCAAATGGCCAATCATAAGATTGATTTATCGCTATTATAAATGGCTGCCGAATAAATCAATCTTATGATTGGCCATTCGACGTCATTTTTAATATTTTCTAGTACTTTTGCGATACTGCCATAAGCCGGTCGCGCTTCTCTGATAATCTAGGACTCTACTTTTCTATAGTGCTCTCTGTCATTTAAATGCTCCAACGACCAAAATTGGCGGTAAACGTGGCAGAAGTGAAGTCAAGGCGATTTAAAGTAAAAAGGCAGAATCTTTTATGGTTTGAGTAAATTACATGTTTTAAATTGCGTATTTCTAAACAGTTATTTGTGGAATATTAGTTCTTACATTTGCAGCATTTTCAATTTTTTATGAATCAATTTTATGAATTAAATATGAAACTCATCTCACACAGAGTAATTACATTAAATTAAGATCGGAAGAGCACACG